TCGGCACCATACCACGGTTTTGAGATTCTGCCTAGTGATGTCCTGTCTACCTATATACTTTTTGTAAGTGTAATTGATCACTTAGATAAGTTGAACAATTTGGAAATGTAGATGAGGCTGTAAAGGAACCAGGACTTTACTCCATAAAACTGTAGATAAGGTACTCGAGTGGTTGAATCTATCATTGCGAAACAGAAAAAGGTACAGTGACCTCATGTGACCAGAGACGGAAAAAGAGACAAAGAGAAACATGTTTGGCTGCTACAATATCAAACTCTAAGTTCTTCTCGGTCCTCTCTCAATTCTTAACCAACAATTCTCATACCGGCCTCTTGCATCCCATATTTCGTCTTTTCATCCAACTTCAAATCTTCGTAATCCTGTTTTCTTCGCTGCTTTTGCTCTTCAGTCTCTTCGCTACTTTTTCTTCTAAGCGCAGTCTTGGTCTTTGACCACAACGATGACGATGAAGAAGATGACGAGGAAGACCCTTTGCGCGAAAAAGGTTGGCGATAAGGTTGGTGCTCATCATTCATAGGCATGGACAGATATCCAGCAGTCTGGTATTCAAAGACATCGAATGGCTTTTGTGACTGCGACTGTGACTCCTGGTGTTGTTTGGGTGCAATGGTTGTTGCAGAGCTAGACACCGAAGAGCAAGTTGCCGTTGTTGCAGTGCTGGAAACGGAGGGTCTGCGTTCTCTTTCCGAGATTTTGGGAGAAGGGGGTTTGAAGTCTTTGGTCATGCGGCAGGCGTATGGGATTGTGTTGGTTGTAGGAGTAAGAGGTGGAGGAGCAGGTGGTGGTGCTTGGGATTGCTGAGCAGGCATTTGCGAGCTAGACTTTGATGTTGTGGTCTTGTTGAACATGGTGGAGTTTTGTTGATGCGACTTGTTGTGACGGGCAGATAGTAGAGGATTGAACATTTAGACTGAATGCTCTTGTCTTGTATTTGATTGGAGAAGTGATGAAAGATGTGTTATGCTTTTGAGAAGATGTGATTGAGATGTCTGACAAGAAACGGAAATGGTAGAGGTGGAAACCACAATACTTATACTTCTGGCTTACTGTGCCTACTCTTTTATTCAGCAGCCTCACAAGGCCGCAACATGGACACGCAATTCTCACAAGGCCGCAACATGAACACGCAAAACGCAGGGGTTTGGGGGTGTCCGAAAACCACTCACCACCGCAAAACACTCAAGCCCGCATCCTTCGCACCAATCCAGGACACCGCGAGTCCAAAACAGCCAGCCACATCTCTCATGCAAAATAACGTTCTTTGTTACTCCGTCAGTGAATCGCGAATCAAAAGTGATTGCATATACTGTACCAATGACTCCCAAGGCAGATACAATTGGTTTCTAGGCTTCGGCATTGGTGAGATGACTCAGGCATCAGAGATCCCCACAGTGTGATTCGTCAATGAGGAGGGCTTGATGAATGGCGGAGTTGACGGCATACCGGCTGTGGCTTGCATTTCATGCAAAGTCCACACACCAGGCACCGGGATTCTTTTCTTCTTATCATCTTGATTGGGGGCTTTTTAGTCTTTCGCTTTCGCAAGGCATCCGAATTCGAGAATGAGTGTTGCTCGCATGCATGGCCCGGAGGCAGCAGTGAAGGTTGGTCTCTACATTCTTCCGTAATTTGTGTGAGAGTAGAGTTTGGAACAGCATGGGCTGTCGGAATAGAACTACATGTCGGAATCAAAGTACATGGAAGTACTCGTGTAGATGTCGGTATAGAAGTCGGGGTAAAACAGCGGGGAAGACTACGAGACCAAGAAGAGGATGCAAAGGGACGGAGTTCAGCTAAGGCTCAGGTGAATGCGGATTCAATATGGCCGCGATATGGCCAGTCGTAGGAATGGTCAGTTAACCTGATTGTAAGAGGGAAAGAAGGCATCATAGGGAAGGAAGGAGCTATGGAGTTTCGAAACTCTACAAGATGGTGTCGCGAGATCGGTTTGGCGCCATACTTCTTACCATTTGAATCTGTTGCGTTGACTCGGTTTGTGGCCAGAGATCAAGTATCTGAGATCATGCTTTTGCCAGCGTTTCGAACATTCAAGTCAGGCTCTGGATGCAACAAATTGCGGAAACCCGAGCATGCGTGCCCAAAGAAACACACATATCATCTGTCTTGTAGAGTGAAGGTTGAAAATGGTTTTTGTACAACTCGAGCTTCTTCGCTGACACAGATTTGATTGGTCTCTTCCTCTTCCTGGCCGTAGCAAGTCCCAGTCCCAAGATGAACTCCGTGAAACGCCTCTTTTGTGATCCTAATGCTCTTTCTCGCTGCTTCCGAAACCATAGATTTGATGTGTATTTGTACAAGCTCTTGCATCCGCCCTCGGTGTCGGAAACATTGCAAGGCAGAAAGGTGTATGCGACGCGAATCGTTTACCTCTTCTTCTTGCCGAACTTCTTGGATTCTGTATGGCGCAAAGCACGTCAGCGAAAGTGGTTCCAAAGCACAACATCTTATTCCTGTCCTCCTGGTTGTTCTTTTCCGCCGCAAAACCAATCCATGTTCCCGCCTGTTCCTGTTTCGATTGTTCCATCTCTTCTTCCTTCTGCGACAAGACTTACCAGCAGCCGTCCTCTTCTTCTTGGGAGCACCCTTTCCTCTCGACTTCGCAATGGCGACGCTTTCGACACGGTCTTCCTCAAAGTCGTCATAGGTTTCGAATCCAGGATATGCCTTTTGAAGGTCGGCGAATCTGGCTACGCGGCGGGNGTAGTAGGCGGCCATCGAGGGACCGCGCAGGCGTTGGCGCAACACACTGTTACCGGTGCGGAAGGCCGAGGGGTTGTAGGTGGTATTGAAGATGGCGCATTGGGTCTATAAATGTTAGACATGCCGAGATTCATGGTCGTGAAGAGATGGATGATAAAGAGAGCTTGGGCGGGGAGGAAAATGTACCTCCATGAGCCTGAGAGCTAGCGTTCTTGCGACTGCCATGGTGAGCGAGCAGTATGTACAAATGCTTCCTCTGGTATAGTATGGACGATGATGTTCTTGATGGGTTGGGCGGCGCTCGCGCTCGGGAGACGGCATTTGCCGATCTCGACAGCGACGATAAATATTTTCCTCTCGCGCTTGCTGCTTGCGACGAACGGCTTCGTAACAACAAGTGAACATTGCAGACGATGCCGTGATCTATCTATCATCACATCGCCGCATGCGCTGGTCTGACACCATCAACAACATCTCCGGGAGACCGATCTTCTCTATCGCAAGAAGACCACGTCTCTCGTCCCAAAGTAGGGTAAGCAAGCCTCTTCTCCTCCCTCTGCACCTTCCCTTCTCTCTCGAATGATTATACGCTTTACACATGCATGGCTTTCTTACGCACCTTGACCGGTGCATTCATGGTGAAACGGCACCAGATATATGACAACACTATTCGAAATGCTTCTTTCCATCACATTTGCTTCTCTCGAGTACGACATTTGCTTACTTTTGAGCTTGCAGTTCCATACACAGACATCACAAGTACAGAGATGCTTGTCTGGCTTGAAGCAGGTCAAGGCGTAGGAAGAATAATGGCTTTGGGAGATGGTGTATACACAGACTTGGTCGAGAATATGAATGTTTGCTTCAAACCCAACCACAACTATGCTTCTTGTGACAATCTCAAAGGACGACGTGACTCCTTACCAAAATACTCGAAATCCTCGTTGTCCTTCAATGTCTTCAACAGCACCAGCTTCAGCATGCCCGCATACCAGCATCGTCCTCTGTCTGCTCGTATCAAATCACTCCACTCCACCAACATTTCTCCAACGTCTCTATAGTCCAGCCATTGCATCTTGCATACAGCACTGACAGTCTTTGCTCTGGCTGAAATCCCAACTCCACCACTTGCCGAAAACGCTGCTATTCTTGATATCTGCAAGATGCATCTAGAAAGGCATGACCAAAAAAACGTCTCTGCAGAAAACATGCACATGCAGAACAAACAAGCATTGATAGTGCAGAAGAACAACCTGGTTATCGGGGTCAATGTGTTTTCTGCAAGAGTATCTCTAAAGGTATACCACACGTGATATAATAACCATGCCTACATACTTACACAGATGGTAAGCCATGCGAGACCGTTCTCGTTGTGTATATCCACCCAGGAGAGAAAGCATCCCACAGAACCCCTGGGGTAAGGCGATTAAGATTATCGCACAAGGCATATCAAAAAAAAAGCCATGTGCAGCAACGCGATACGAACAGTTATACGATCGCGAACACACGGGGGATACACACCCAGCAGCACATCACGGCACACGGCATGTGTGGTAAAATGAGGGGCCGGTATAGGAGATTTGGAGTGTGTAAGCACCATGTGGTCTGCTGACGTGCAGACGTGCATTCCAAAAACGGCTCGCAGGCGAAAAAGAGACCTAGAAAACACAAATTCTGGACTGTTGTTGTTGTTGCGTATGTGTGTGGGTTGTGTGGCTTTGCCTCTAATATCGATTGACGCAAGACGTTGTACATGTCGTTCAGCTGAGCCCAAACGGCTTTTCCTCACGGAGGAGATTTGGGCAAAAACAATGACGACAACGCGGTAAGAGTCAAGCGAGGGTGAATACAAGACACAGTAGAAACACAATTGGAAATGATTTGTTTGTAAAAATATCATGGTTGAAGAGATACTAAAAGAAAATCGTAGATACAGAAGAATTAAAAAAATGAGATCCTTCCGAATATATTAAGAACGCCGCTTTCATGAGAAGTTCTCCTATCCTTTATAAGGCATCCTTTTGCCTTTGGGAGATTGAAACATAAGAAACGTAAGAGAAGAAAAGGAATAAGAAAGAAAATTGCTCGGTCGACTCGCGAGCGAGTGTCGATCAAGTCTTTTGATGTGTCGAAAGGCTGGAGTCCAGCAATAACCCTTCGCGCCATGAGATGTGCCAGTCTATAATGCTCCCGAGATGTGATGATGGAAAAGAAAAGATCTTTAGTGAAACAAGAAAGACAAAGACACGAGGGTAGTCTTAGCATGTCAACTCAGCAACGGAAACGGCGACATCATTCTTGGTAGGGTTGAGCTCAGGACTGGCTTTTGCCGAGTCGACTTGGTTCTCGATTGGGTCTTCCATGATGGTGTCGGTGGGTGAGCGAGGAGCGGATACAACAGAGAAGGTACCACCGCGGGGAGAGATAAGGCTGGCAGAGTCGTCAATGTCGCAGGCACCCTCCATGCTGTGGAGACCGTGGGCGGCAGGAGTAGTGAAGAGAAGAGGAGCAGGCTTGTTGGCTCTGGGAGACGAGACAGATCTGGCCTTCACGGAGATGTTGGAAGCAGGGAGCTGTTCGGCAACACTTGCTCTGCGGCAGACCTCGGCCTTCTCATCGGCGCTGAGAGGAGTAGTGGTCTTGAGGAAACTGGAAGCAGCGTTGCGAGGAACGTAGCTGGGACGGCGAGAAGCAGTGGGAGAAGCAGTGGNGGAAAGACCGTCGACCGAATCGCTGTCGGGGTTGTGGCTGCTGAAGAGGGAGAAGGTCGAGTATTTGCGGTCGATGGTAGGGACAGCAGGGACACCGGCATCAGTCTCAGGGTTGGCACTTTTGAACCAGCTTCTGATGCTGTTCTTGGAAGAGCGACGGCTGGAAATGCTGAATGCGCGGTTCTTGGAGGGCGAACCTTCAGAGCAGCTACGAGTGTCCTTGGTCATTTGAGAGACGGTCGATGCCTTGCGGTTGTAAGTGGCGCCCTTCTGGTCGACTCCGGTGGAGACCGAGGCCATTCTCATCTTCTGGATGGGTACGGAAGGGCTAAGCATGCCAGAGTCCTCCATGGGCACAACCTCGTTGCCCATCTTGTAGTTGCCGAACATCTTTCCCCACATCGAGGACTTTCTGACAGGGGGAAGGGCAGGGGTAGGGGCAAGAACAGTGACGCTCATTGTGATGGTGTTGTGAGGATGTTGTTCGGGATTAGATATTGATGGTCGTTTGGGGATGAGACCTGTTGTTGGAATGCTCGTCTGTTTTGGTTGGAATGCAAGTCGTGAGAGAGTCGATGATTGAATGTGAAGATGATAGAACGAGCGCTGCTGATCGAGATATTGAGCCGGGATATGTGCTCTTACTTATATCAAAGCACAACGTGCAAAAAAACCGCCCGTATCATCTGCCTTGCCGGTTTCCTGAACGTTGAAATCCAGCAAGCCCGTGAAGAGCATCTCGAAGCATATGCGGAAACGGTCGGTGTGGAACATGTCTATCAGACACAGGTCGTTGTACTATTAGGGGATCCCACAAACGGCCAAAAACGATTGGACATCGCTCAAGTTCTCCCAGTCAACCCGACCCTGAATGCCTAGATTCGAAATACACTCACGTCAACGACCCTTTCCGGAAGCGTGCGCGAGAAGATCTGCGCTGTCCCCTTCGTGTACAGACCATGGCGGCGCTATTCCTAGCCTTCTTGCAGTCGTAAAGGATCCCATATGAGTCGAAACATACCCACGCGGCTCTCTTTGGCAACACATCAGGAGTCAGTGACGACGTGGCCCAGTCTTCCGTAGGTATACGATTCGTCAACGGCCAACTATCGAGCGAACAAATGAAAGCCGTTGCCAAATCCCAAATCCCCGAACAAGAACGAGGAGGGTGTGATGGAAACCGTTGCAGGCGAGCTTTCCACGAAAGGGCAGGCTTGCAGCGGCCAGTCGTTTTGGCCACATCGCAGGGATCTTTTGGCAACGAATATGCAGCCGTTTCCCCATTACTCGACCGCCCCTTTGGCTCCTTCCCCAGACATTTGTTCCAACTGCCGTCCCATTTGCTGTTACAGAGGATATCGCGGTACAGGAGTGGACGTTGCAGCACACCCTCAGGCTCAGCTCGCCTCCCTTTGCAGATACCTGGGCCGCTGCACAATCCTTGTTATGCGGTCTAGGAAAGAGGTACTTGTTCACCAGCGTGCATCGGAGTCCGCGACGCTCTGTTGGCAAGCTGAAAGCCTTCGAGAAACCGCTCTTCTACCAGTCACGTGTAGTTCCAGGCCCTACAAGCTACATCCGCGTAGCCTATCACCTGTGATCCACAGTACAAGAGTACGTGTTCAGCGCATCCCATGACTGCGCTGTTGCTGTTCCTGACGCCCTGCGGTATGCAAGCCCTTGTTCGGTCTCGGTAGACTGCATGACTTTGAGCGTGCGTTCCAGAGAGATGCCTCCTGATTCAGATCAACGCTAGCATCTCTTCCTTCGTTGACGTCCCTCGGTCTTTCAGCTTGCTCTTTGATGGCGAGTTTCCCTGCCGTTTGCAGTTTTGTATTTCTCCTTTGATTCATGCTTCTGTGAGCCGTTGTAAGGGCTCTATCTCTTGCCTACGGTTATGGATGGGGCTCTCAGACATTCGCAATATTCCATCGTCATAAGTCTCAAATCCTTCCCTAATTGAAGCCTCAGGGTAAAGGGCTTTTGTACAAGAGCAGCCACTGAACTCCACTCGCGGAGGGGACCGTTGCAACGGCTCTTATCGAGTCTCTATTTCCTCTATCAGGCAACGGATGAGCTCGGCCATCTCTCGCACAGACGTTGACAAGCTGAAGGCCGCAGCAAGACAGAAGTTTGTCCAGACAAGATCTGAGGTCCACGTGTACGGCCGCAGTGTGACACGGCGACAGGACAGCCACCATCTAGAGCTACCAGTGACTTTCTAGTTTATCTCGAAAGATGGCAGTCTCTCATTGATGGCGGAAAGATGGAAGGCGAATGAACCTGAATATCAATATGCATTGGCCTTCAAAGTATAGAAGTCCCTCAAAGCATTCTTTGCGGTTACTACGTCGTCGATATGTCAACGGGTGTTGTGGCTGGAATTCTCTCGACAACGAAGTATAAGGTCCTAGGCAATCAAACCTAGCACAGGAGGCATCTCCGTTGACCACTTCGAATTCCGTCCTCGATACTGAGTCTCGGAACTCTTGTCTAGACCATTGCAACCATGTTCACAAGCAAGACATTTTCTCCCAAGGCTGTAGGGATAGACAAGAACGTACAAAATGATGGTCTAGAGTATCCTGAGGTTTTTTCGCTAGACTACAAAGACGCTACTGATTTTAAGCAGCTGCGGGCCGGAATGGTAGGCGCCCGTTAGGCTCCGCTTGTAGTGAAGGTTATCTGGCTATAGAAAATATATCGTGGCTCTGAGACAGCAATGTTGGAAGATTTCCAAAAGCGAACATGATCTTGATACTTTGGTAGAGGTGTTGATTTTCTCGTTTATCTTTTGCAGCTCTACGTTTCTCACAACTGCAATCTCAGAACGTTGAGCTGAAGGTTGTTGGCTTGCTCTCAGCAAAACCCGAGGCTGTATTCAAAGTAGACAGGACAGCCACACAGTCATTGTATACAGCCACCAACCATAGTATCGAAGCCGGACAGCCACTGAGCAATAATGAGGCACCGCAAACCTATAGCTGTCTCTCGTCTAATTTACCAGTTGGGATTCTTATTCTTTGCATCTGGTAAGTTTGCTATCTTGACTGTCATCGGCACGTGTGCGACCAAACTTTTGTCGCGTGGAAAAAATGCACTCGTTACATCAACCCCTTTCTAGCATGTCCAAGCGATCAAGCTTCAACATACTTTGTGATTTGATATCACAAAGCGCTTGGCCAACCATCGCAGTCGGCCCGCGACGGAAGATGGTTCTGCCAGGACTGCTATCTTCCTTTACTCTCGTCTAACTTCCAGCAACCTCTGACAAGTGTTCAGATAACCAGGGAGCAGCATGAGAAATTGCTCGCCGCAAGTCTGAACAGCCAGGGAGGAGCTTGCCTGCAAGATGTACGATGCGCTGATCAAGCTATCATGCAGCATTCCTTGAAAAGAGTCTTGATGGTCGCAAGCAGGTCCAAAGTGCATACTATCCTTTACATCAGAAGAGGCTATGATACATTCTCTTCCTCGACTGAACAGGCGTCACTCTCCAATCACGTAGGTACAGCCCTCGGGACCGATCCATACTTCATGGCGCTTGTTGGCGTCGACATCGAATCTATCACCAACGTTGCACTGCTCTTTCTTTGGTTTCGGATCGTCGGGATAGCTGAGAGTAAGGCTTCCTTTCAAGACGAGATGTGTAGTAACACCAGCATGCGTATGAGGCGGGTAGTGGGCGTNTGCTTGGATCAGATCAGTCGGCGTGCCATGCATACAAGGTCGTGGTGAGGCTTACGGTCCGTCGCTCCAGGTAAAGACATGGTTGAAGCCCCAGCCTCTGACCTCTGTTTCTGCTTCCTTCCTCGATTTTGGTGCCATGGTCGACTTCTCCTCCTTTGGTCGAGGAGCAGAGTTGAAGGAGGCGTTTCCTTGTCGACGACAATTGATCCTCGATGACGCAGCATTCTCCAGAGTCTTGGCAGTCGAGACCCTGACCGCCTCGGCATCAGCAGCTTTGACCATGCGGTGAGGTGTCCAACTTGTTCCAAGACGAGTTGAAACAGGATTGATGTGGAAGGAAGCACCAAGCACCGTGAACACGACATGACACTCTTGAAGGCTTTCTCCACACCATGACCTGAGTCGTCCGGCAAATCATCCACCTGGTCTTTCGAATCCTCGTGCACCTACTCTATCGTCCTTACCTATCCATACATCGTTCCCTATCACACTCCGCCCAGCTTCGCAGTTACCCCTGAGTTTCATCCCCAACTTCCGACATGGACATCACCGACCCTCAGGCCTGGTCACCAGCGATTCTGAATTATGTCAAAGCGTTCACTGCCGAATTCGCTCAGCTGGATAATATCGAGGGCAACAATGCCGGCGTTCCTGGCTCTGCAAATGATGGCCAGGCATCCAATCGTCTCTTGACATATCTCGGCTCCGAAGAGGCCAATGCCATGGCACCTGTGGTTTTGGATGCCACACATCCTCTTTCAGATTACTTTATCTCCAGTAGTCACAACACCTATCTGTGGGGCAATCAACTCTATGGTAAGGCTAGTACCAAGGCTTATCAGAAAGTCCTGGAAAGAGGCTGCCGCTGTGTTGAGATCGATGTTTGGGACGGAGACGACTCGGACTCTGATACATCCGACTCATCGGCCGATAGTGACAGTGACGTCGAAAATGAACGCGGAATCAAGAAGTTGAGCAAACGTTTCAAGGACAAGATGGGTCTCTCCAAATCTAAGCCTGAGTCCAGACCGAGAGATAAACCAGCAGCTGCCTCCGTCTCGCCCGAGCATGAAGCTGTGGGATCAGCAGGTCTTCGCCGGACTGTGTCCAAGACTGAGCCACGCGTTCTCCATGGATACACGGCAACCAAAGAGATATCCTTTAGAGCCGTCTGCGCCACTATCCGAGACTACGCCTTCACAGCAAGGTATCTTGGGTCATATCATGTGTAATAGCGCTCATCTACTCACTATTGTATAGCNGACCTCCCTTTGATCGTCAGTCTCGAAGTTCACGCAGGTCCTGCTCAGCAAGAGATCATGGTCGACATCATAAAGGACATGTGGGCACCATACCTGGTCGACTTGAATGCAGTGACTGGCCATGAGATTTCTCTGCCAACCCTGGATTCTTTGCGCAAAAAGATACTCATTNNAAAGGTACGTCACCAGATTGTACTCTTGCAAGCAAACAAAGGCCAGAACACTGAACCCAAGCTTTCTCATCCAGTTAAGTACACTCCACCAGATAAAGCAAAGAGCGAGCCAGCAGTTGTGTCAAGCAATGCAAACCTCGAATCGGGCTCAGAGGATGAGCCTCAGGAGACAACAGTCAAGAAGAGCCACATCATTACAGCACTCGCTTCTATGGGTGTCTACACCCGCGGTTGCCACTTCAAAGACTTTGATCAGGCGGAAGCCAAGCTTCCAAACCACATATTCTCCTTGTCTGAGTCCAAGATTGTCGAAGTACACAAGCGTGATCACTCGGCGTTATTCAGGCACAACAAGGTATGTCGTCCCGATGTTCAATATTCCAGCGCTAACATATGACTTGTCAGNCGCTTCATGATGAGAATCTATCCAAAAGGCATTCGTGTATCCTCAAGCAATCTGGATCCTGCACCTTTCTGGCGGATGGGTGCGCAGATTGTCGCCCTCAATTGGCAATATATCAACGCGGCAACCATGCTCAACCAAGCCATGTTTCACGCGACGGGCGGTTGGGTGCTCAAGCCTGAAGGCTACCGCAGTTTCCACAAAGCTCAATCTCAGATTGCGGCGCTCGACCGAGGTAAACTTGACTTGACGATCGAATTGCTGGCTGGTCAGGATATCGGTCCGGCTGATAAGAAGCTTCGTCTCTACGTTCGTTGTGAGTTGCATATCGAGGACATGGAAGAGATTAATGGTGGATCTCTGCCTGAGNNGGGGGGATCCACCAAGGAGGGACAGATCAAGGCAGTCACTGGACTTGGAACGGCTGGCAGGTCTCCGGATTTTGGGCGCCAATTGCTTCAGTTCAAGGTCGATGGCGTTGCCGAAGAGCTAACTTTCGTGAGGTACGTGAATCTTCGCACATTTTGTCTGAAAGAGACATGTCCTACCCTCAAGCACTGCCTGTACCCGTCTCGTTCATATGGCTTTGTTCACCGCTAGTTCACTTCCTGTGGAAGCCACGGATCAAGGTTACTGTATCTTGTGGCGAGGATGTGCAGCATTGCCAAAAACGCTCAGTCGCTTCACTCTGCGAGGACTGCACGCGCTCTACGGTTATATGCATGCTCAATTCGCTACTCGTGGTGGCATATCCGGACAGTTGGGTTCACCAGCTGCGTGGTACTAGACGCCACACTAGACTCACGAACCCGTCAGCCAGGTTCTTTGGTGCATACCCTCGGTGTCATTCTTACCTGATTTGGTTACCCTGACGTTTATCGCTCCTTCGGCTCATTCGCTGACACGTTCGTTATAACAGGTTCAAAGTCATGGACGACGACACCTTCAGCCGCGATAACCTAGTGGCATGGGCATGCTTCAGATTGTCCAGACTACAAACAGGTATAAGGAAGATACGTCTGTATGACTGCGAGGGTCAGCAGACCAACGGGATGCTGCTTGTGCGCATAAGCAAGAAACTCGAAATTGAGTAAAGTCCACAGTGGACTCAAACCCTCTGACTCCTGGTTGAGACGTGAGTCGGGCATATATTCACACGGCTCGACTGTAGCATGCCGATACGAAATGAAGGTCCGCCTGTGCCAATTCGATATTTCATCAATGCTAAATGCTATCGCCCGTAGGGTTTGTGCATCGAGCGTACAANNAGAAGATAAATCATACATGAACTGAACAGCGCTCCGTCCCCGCGTCNNATCTCGTATACCGCATACTTTTTGTCATTCAGGAACACTCAATTCGCGAAGTTCTCGACTCCACTTGAGATGAAAAGTTGACGACGCTATTCTTGTGTTTCTGCGTGCACGTATGGCATTCTTCATAGTGCAGGATATCACATGCGAACGCGATGACAGATCGTAAAGATCTGATCTGGCGTATCTCCCAATCTAGATTACCGAGTCTGCGGTACCGATGGAGNNCCGGGGACGATGGAAGCACCATCGAAAAAAGGCACGCACATATGATGAACAAACAACGGAACAAAGTACCGACATACGACAATCTTTTACACGAACGTGTGCGTTTCTCTGCTCACATGCCACAAGCAATAAAACATTCGATGCAGGCTTCCAGAGGCGCTTCTTTCGCATAAATTGGTTTCGACATTGAAAATCAGAGTCAGATCTTAGATGACCGATCTGTCTGCGCCGCCGTTTGTTCGTGCGTTTTCGCTGGAGAAGCTCGAGCAACTGAAGGGCGAAACAAGGTCAGGACATTGATAGTTGATGGCTCAGTTTTCTTTGGTATCTTGCACATTAAAGTCGGTGAAGCCATGCCATGACACATGAGCAACTCGGAACAGCAAGGAGTTATACCATTGCTAGTGCCCATGACTCGAGACCTCGAGAGATTGTCAGAAGCCGGGTTATCATGAAAAATGACGAACCAGACTTTTGGGAATACATGTAGCGCATTGATCTCCCTTCCAATATATCAATGCTCTTAGATACAATAACTCGGCGATTGGCATATTGTTGGCCACTAAAGCTGATCACTTTTCCTCCCTTGGCCTTCATACATTTTCTGCATCTCTTGTTGAGGGAAACACTTTGGGCAGAAGGAGAGATTACTCCGATTGTGGCAGGTGACGGAAGGAACGGGATGGGCGCCGTCACGGGCGTACCACCGTGTCGGTAACTCGACGCAATCCGTTCCTAGATGATGGCTTGACCAAAACCAGGATTTGGCAAGGGCACGTACTCGAGGGTTTTTTCGGAAGGTGCAGTCCGNCAACACAAACATACGAACTGGTGGAGAGATTTTGTCTTTTGGTGGTAGCTTTGCCTTTGCTGCTCGGCTTAGAATATCAAGGTGCATNNGTGTGAGAGTTCGTGGCCTGGCCTGTCAATGTATGTGGCTAGCGTGGGCTACACNCGATGGCGGTGCCGTGTGGGCATATTTTGCATCGTCGCACATTCGAGGGTTGCGCAGGTGGATAGCCGTGGGGGNCATAATCTGTTTCTCTCCCTCGAAGCGCCGCTTTTTTTTTCTAGTCTTGCAATCAAAACAAATTTGTTACTCGTCCTCTCTGTACCAAGGACGCGATGGCACCAGTATCGCACTTGAGCAAGAAGCCGTAGGACCCGCTCTGCACATCTTTTTGAGATTGCTCAGATGGAAGTATGTTCTTGCAAGTGCGAAACGATGCAGGGTTACGCTATGCGAGGTGCTTTATCAGTCGAAAAAAAGTCTATCACAAAAGGTCAGGTCATTCGAGGTATGCACTCGAGGATATATAAGGAGGGTGTTTGTCCTCTGTTCAACATACTTCTCGTCCATCAGCCATCGCAAGCAATTCGATCTTGCTGTTACACAGTCAACCTACCTTTTCTCCATTCCTCTAGCACCTCTCTTCAGACATCTCTTCCTTCTTCCAAGAACTTCAACTCGACCTCAGCAACCATGCCTAGCAACACCAGCCACATCCAGAAGCGTGCCCAGCTCCAACAGCACAACGACCTTGTCGTCAACCCTACCGAGCACACTGAATGGCAAGATGCCCAGATGGATCTTGGTCTGTCCTCGAACATCCGCTCAAGAGCCCCACCAGTAAGAGAATGCGCTGTCAGNTCATCCCAATGCCCAATCTCGAGATCTGACAGGCTAAACAAGGTCCAGACTCGTCANGTGCAGTTGTGGTCATTATGTGATTGCTGGCAAAAGATGCCCGCAGTGTGGCAAACAGAACTAGCAACCCAAGCGAGGTATGTACTTCTCATCAGAAGCTCAAGGACTCTTACTGACATTGACTGGCACAGAGCGTCGTCAAAGGTCCTCGGACTCATTGGAGCAGCAGCAAAGGCAACCCAAGCATCAAAAACTCGAAATGCAGCATAAAATCGACATTGAGCGTCTCCGGCAACGGCTCGTAAAGCTCAAGACCTCGACAACCACAATCAAACCCAAAACCGAGACGACGCCTCGCGGTATTGCAGTCGAGAACACGTTGCCACGGCTTCGCCCTGAGCGTGTCTACTATTCTGGATGCCGACCCTTTCTCGAAGGCTAGCTCGGGTTTCTGGGTCACAGCCATCATTTTCTTGTCTCCTTTTGCACTCGTTTGATTTCTGTTGTTTCCTTTTGAGCGCAATGCATCATTGCTGGCGTTCGTCTTTCCCAGGTGGAGTCGGAGGAAAACCCGAAAATCGTTGACAAAAAAAAAAAGAAGAAATGAGTTCAAAGAAAAACAGGGGGAAAAAAAGTTTCCTTTGTCTTGATCACAGCATTTTTCCTTACAGCAGTATTGGTGTTATTGGATTTTGATTGAAGGAGTTTGGACACAGCAAAACAGCATCAAAGAGACCACAGAATCTTCTTACCTGTTACTGTATATGCAGTTCGCACACATATGTATCAAAATTGCAGTTACGTTCTCTTCGCGCACTACTTACCTATTCTTTCCACGCTTTGGGCATGTCGATGATGGTTTGAACTGAAGAAAATATCTGAAAAGAGGTGAGGGTTGCAGAGAAATAGGTAAGATCGCGATTGACAAACCCTTGGCTCGATCACGAGAGGCTCTTCAGCGTCACCACTCTTCGATTTGTCTGGGGAAACCGTCCATCCTGTCTTCTCAACAACGTCATGTTGAAATCAGATACCCGTATAATGGGTCCGCCTCCCTTGTAGGTGAAAATTGTAGAAGAGGAAGTTACATAAGTCGTCGCTGCCATATCGGAAATTATTTCTACCCAACACATCAAATAACCCCGCCGCTTCCTTCACCATGTCTTTCCAATCCATCAAGAACTCTTTCCGTTTCATCAACACCACTTCAAGACCTTCGACTCTCTTCGCTCGTCAATTCCACGCAAGAACTACAATGGCTGCTCAGGCTCCTTCTTCTCACGATATCTCGGCCGTCGCCAAGGACGAGAACGGTCCCGTCAAGGGCTCTGAGTCTGCTCAGATGCAGAGCCAGGTTGGCAAGGTCCAGGTATGTCCTAACATCGTTATAAGCACGCGACAGTTCTAACCACTACCTNNACAGAACTTTGAGAGCGCCGCCCAAGACGTCCTCAGCAAGATGCAGCAGGACCCCAGCTCCATCACCGCCGACGATGCCAACTACCTTAAGTCTCGCGAGGCCCGCGCCACCGGTCAAGCTCAGCCTCCCAAAGACAGTGTTTCCGCCGATGCTCAGCGTCTTGCCTCTGCCAACGAGCGTGGCGCCGCACCCAAGACTGGCCCCTTAGACTCCGCCGAGCAGTCCCACCTTACCAAGGAGCGCAACCTCGAGCAGGCCGTCAATCAGGTCGGCTCTAAAGACCCTTCGCAGGTGACCCAGGACGATGCCAACCTCCTCCACAGCCGTGAACAGCGCGCCCACGGTCACACCGAGAAGGGTGGTGTTGCCTCTCAGGCTCAATCCATTGCCACCGAAAACTCTCGCTCGTAAAGCATGATCATCAACGACCACAACTCTGTTTCTTACTGCATACACGACATTGCATGAGCGTCGCAGCCTGGTTGCTGCAGGGTTCCCATCGGAGGGAGATGTTACGACCACCCAAAAGTATAATATGTATAATAGCATGATATGACCGCACAACCCAGATGGCTCTGGAGCCTATTCCTTCTCTTCCTTCTTCTTACATCTGTTTGTCTGTGCTGAATCCTCCCTGGTCGTGTCCAATTGTAACACGGTGACTTATCAAATATCAATATATTTTGAGCTCCTCCAGGTGCGGGGAAAGCTGTGTGCATGTTGGTTATGACATCGCCAACTCGACCACTCTTATAAATAGAGGCTCCCTCGAACATCTCGGAACCACTCACTGCTCGACTGCGAAGTGTAAGATGCTATTCAATATGCTGACTCGGTATTTCATGCTCTGTGTGCTCGCAGAGCGTGTAGTCAGCTTCGTCATTCCACACCAGGAGATCCTCATCTCCTCGCCAGCAGAAAAAGACCCCAATGTCATCCTATCGGCGTAAGATGAAGCCATCTCGTTTCTCGGAATTCTACTGAATGATATCGCAGTNCTTCGCGCTGCAGAAGTCATCCCAGATGTCATGGACACTTTCTCCCCTCTAATCTCCTTGACGGCAAACTGGTCCTCTGTCGCAATGACACGCCTCGGCAACACGATTCCACCCTCTCACCTCTCCCATCGCCCAGATATCCTCGCTCATCCGATTCCCTCGGCCTGGATACCTGATGACAATGAATTCGTGCTCGCCCTCACCGACCCAGATGCCCCTTCGCGTGACGATCCGAAATGGAGTCAAGTATGCCACTGGCTGGGCACCTTCAAGGGCACCAAAGCCAAAGAGTTGGTCGAGTACAAGGCTCCTGCGCCGCCAGAGGGGACGGGTAAGCATAGATATGTGGTTGTGGTTATGATGGCCAAGAATGGGACGACTGAGGAACTGGATCTGGCGCTGCCTGAGGATAGAAGACATTGGGGATACAAGGGAGAAAGGTCGGGAGTCAAGGACTTCGCGAAGATTAATGGATTGAAGGTTGTTGGTGAGTCTTGTCATTTTTCTTTTGCGTCATGGGGTTTGTGTTGATGATTTGGATTGCCTCTTGGGCGAGTGGCTGTTGGAGAGAGCTTTATGGATGATGATCACGAGAATATGGCTGGCTAACTGATACTTTACAGCGGCAAACTTCATCTACTCGCAAAACGACAAGCAGTAGAGGACTCATGGGCAAGAACCAATGTTCAAACTCAACGGACGAGTTTTCCTATTTCCGACGACTTTCCACTCTTTTCACACACTTTTCTTACTCGATACACATTAAGAAAGCTCTGATGATCGATAGCTAGTATTAATAAGTGGTATTTCGAGGTGATGCTTCTACTCAATTATTGATATCTTGTGAGGTGGGACAGGGTCGTGCACACGACAATGCTTTCCGGGAGTCAGATGGCGATATCTCGACATTTACTGATTCTCATGTTACCAAGCTCATTTGCGAGGTACTTTGGGATCTTTTTGTTATTGTGTATTGGTCTCAGCTCATAGGATGCAATTTTGTGGTTACAACTTGCCTTTTGGTGATTATAGATGTCGTAAATCTGCAAGCCACAATGAACCACATTATCTTCATAGTGACACACCTGAGCATGATAACAACGTATGAATGAGTCGCTATAGGTTCTAAGCATCTCCTCTAAGTACAAGCAAGAGAGGTTTAGGAATAGCCATATGTCAATCCAAGATTTTTAAGTCACCACAGAGAAAGCCAAAGTTTTGCAATGACATATCCAAATATGAGCGGTCCTACTGTGAGACGAGTGTGATTGTAGCTGAGAAGCGTTTGTAGGACAGCATGGCTGCCAAACGGCCAAGCTTCTGTCAGTGAACTCGAGACGTTGATCGAGCATTGGGACGATGTTCGCCACAACGCCCAAACTTCGACAAGGCTATGGAGAAACAAAGTAGATACGGAGGATGCAGCCATACCTACTGCTTGCCTTGTGACAGCAAATTGGACATCGAATGGAATGCATACATAATCCCGAGAAAGATTGACTGAATGATGATATGAAAGAGACACGTGAATCGACAAATTCATTCAACAGAAGGAAAGAGCGAATGGACGAAACCGAGAGGTGACCAGAATGAAGAACAGGAAGGCACATCTAGGTAGTGGAAAGGGCGACCGGGCAGAACTTGGTTTTCATGTGGTGTAGCTTGCCCTGGACATGCAAGATGTGGGCAACGACTGCCTGAATACTTACTATACCCTTGACGAGGTATGGCAGCTTGCAAACTTCATCACGTTAATCACGGGTTCATCATGTTTGCAAGCCTTTTTGTGATGGATCAATGACATCAAAGCCCACTACGTTGAGTCGGCGACGAGGTAGGAAAGCTGTCGTACCTCAGCAGCTACCTGAATCACCCTCCACACTTCTATTGGACGGCAAGAATACCAGGCAGTGATACTTGAGTGTCAACATGAAAATGATCTATACCGTCTCTCATGAGTTGTCGCTCCTCGAGCAAAGTGGTCGACCGGGGAAGCGGACATTTCCCATTTGTTTTCTTACCTCTGAAACGTGTTATGTGACTGTCGTTTGTCATCTTGAGGTGGCGAGTCTTGGGGTGTGTAGCGGTCACTTTCTGACTGGGCTCTTCACGATCTATTGCCGACAAGATGGTGTTTGACTTGTGACTGGGACAAATTCTTGCTTTCGGCCGAGAAATGCCATCTCCCGTCATCAACTGATGCAGTACTCGAGTACGCCGCGGTCGAAGGATGATTTGATGCTTGGCCGGTAGCCACGCATAGCCACCAATGGGCAGCCATACGTTAAGGCGACGCAGCCAAGAAAAATGCATTCTGCTGGTGAGAAAGCCATGGCTGAGTATTGGTTCGCCTCGAGGCTCGCGCAAGGATGCGACAGGACTTTGCTCCTATTCAGCTGGCGCCTTGTAGAAGGTTACAGCGGCAAAAGACGGCTTGCGACTACGCTTGCATGTATCTTTTCAAAACGACCTTTGGGAGGCGTGCAAAGAGGAGTTGCCGTAGCACACCTTTCCAGCATGTTTCCGGAAATGTCTCCGCTTCCGCAAAATTTTGCCCACCATCTGNTTCTTGTCCGTGGGGGCTCTGGGGTACAAGCGAACCTACTCTCTTGGCGTGCATCTTGAAGANAAAGGTACGTGTGAGCCGGAATCTTGCTATGGATCTCTGGTTCTTGCAGAGCAGCCTCAAGATTGGGCATGTAGCACATTNGCCCTTCTGAAGGACAGCTGTGGACGTGTAACGTTAGCAGCATATAAAGCTTGACAGGATTGCCCCTCTGATCTGACAGACGCTTTACCTACGTCCGTATTCAATTTCAGCTCCCTGCGACAGCACATTCAAAGGAGGATTCTTGCCGCTTTGTTTGCATTGTTGCGCTGGAAACCTTCTGACAAGTCACATGTGTGATGCTTGCCTGCTTTCTTGATTGCCAGCAGGGTCCGAGAAAAAGTCTCACACTGACCGACCACACTCGCCACGACCAGCGCTGACATTTGCAACCAGGATGGCCAAACGCTATCGCGAAGAGAAGTACACACTTCTGCCTTGGTCAGTGGAAGCTGATGGAGATGTGACAACTTGAGCGGGGTCCTATCCGGTGGGGCTGTTGGATGTGACCAGCATACAAGTGCAATATAGAGCGTTACGACTTTCTGCCTCTCGCGTCCATGCCATAATGTACTGATGCGCCAATACAAGGGTAGGAGTCGCATTCTGGTCTTCATCAAAGACAGGATGGCATTCTCCCGGAGTATTAGTGTTCAGGCAAAAGTGGTCATCTTGATGTAATATGGAGAGAAGACATCGCATGCTCCCTTCGGACAATCCCTAAAGCTCGAATCTTCACATCTTATCGATGCCGATGGATCTGCTGCATGTCAAGCCCTATGCGGGCAGTGTAGTGTTGTTGTAGAGCCTCAGCCAAGCTGTCGAGGTTGAGCGGAATGGTACAGTAGCCTCGAAAGTTGATAAGGTACCTCGGGGCTGTGCCTTGACACAGCAGTGACGAGGATCAACATGGGTGGCAGGTGTGTTGAGCCAACTTCTGCGTCACATAACGGTGCGATGAGTTGAAGATGACTTGATTCGTATGCCCATCACTTGATGCCGTTGTGCCTCAAAGACCCTGTAGCCTTGTCGTTCTGAACCTGAGTCTGTTCAAGCGATAGGAAACGCGACTCTGATAATCTGATCGGAAGACGAGCGCGGATATGACAGCTCCGCCCGCAACGTGTTGTATGTTTCGCATTGCAGTTTCCGAAGATGGTAGATGCAAACTTCGCAACTCGTAACGATGCCGTATAAGTGACGTTACGCGACTTTAAGTGGGCCGGCTCGACAGTCACTGATCCTAATCAATCACAATGCACCCGATCAGTCGATGGTAAAGCTTCTTGAGTCTACTTTGCATGATCGAATTGGTAAAAGAGCTTGAGTTGGTCTGCATATTGGATGTCCTGGATATTGTAAGCGAGGTCTTATCTAGATCACCCACGGCTGGAATGACTCGAGCGACGTCCATCCCTCCCTAGACTGGATACATGAATGATGTAACATGCTCGTTCATCAAGACGTGATCAGAAGACTTGCGACGAAGATACACACGACTCCATCCAGTAAGTAATAAAAGTTCGCCCAAGATTGGTGTTTATGCCTTCTTCTCAAGGTGCTCCAACGTTGCACGCCCAAGCGACTCAAGTAGAGGGACAAGCGGCTGGCACAACTTCTTACTGGTACCGAGTAGGTTTGAGTCCATGAATATCAGCTCTACGTGTAACTAGCACACCAAGCACGAGTCGCGTTGTCAATTGCTACGTGACTTTGTTATGCGGGTAGAGTAAGGTTGTAGCTACTCACAACATCGACCACTGGGTTAAGGTCAGATGGCAGTCAGGGCAGGCTATCTGTACAGCCAACGATTGTCGACATCCTCTGAACAATAAGAGGAGGGGCGTCTAGTAAAGCACTACCGGCAGGATATGGGTAGGATTTCTTGGGATTAAAGTTAATGCTGTGCCCGCAGATGCGGAAAGCCGTGTCGAATGGAAGTGTGAGCTTATTCCTCAGGCGTGGATGATGGATCGTTGGATCTTGGAGAGTCATACGGAGTACGACTGACTCCAAGGAATTTCAGAAAACAATTCCAAGCGGTTGGAGGAGCAAGCCACTGATGCCATCTCACGACACGGGAAGTTATGACTTGTCGCGTGGCATGCTTCGATTTCACGCAGCCGTCCACCATTGGAGCGTCGCCGTCTGCAATTGATGATTGACGTTTCACATCGATCGAGAAAAGCAGGTGAGTGAAGAGTTCGTGCTGTGGAACATTTTACAAAAAGTCCGAACGGGAAATGAGGTTGGACTGGTGCGTACGATGTAGGCCAAGTCGTCAGCTTCTTTTGTGGATACCTTGATGAGGCTCTGGCAGGTGGAGCCCACCTGCACCCCAGTTCTGCCAGACGTGTCTTCGGAAGCAGAGGGTGTGGGTGCAAGACAAGGCGATGGATCAAGGAACGGGACACTTATCGGGACTATCCATCGTCGATGTTTCGACGGCGACCCGCCAGCACTCCTCTGCCATTCGCTGCTGAGATTCTCATCGCGCATGCGCGCTCGCAAACGACGATGGCAATGTCTGTCCGCGACGGAATGCGATCGGGAGCAGATTTAGCGCCCCCTGGCAGCAGTGGTACTCAACCGCGGAAACCGCAAATCGCACCTCGTCCTGCGCAGCACGCACCCGGAACAGCGGTAGCACGTAGGCGGACACCTTCTAGCCGCGACGAGCTAGGGAGCTGGTCGCTCGTTGAGTCGTTGCTGAGGGCTGCCCCTGCCCTCGCTCGCCTGTGNTGTCTGTTTCGATAGGGCCGNGACGCGGGAGGGTCGCTCTTGCAGATCGGTCACCCTGACATCATCCCNCCACCCAGCGTTCCCCGCCAGATACGGGCTTCAGCTAACTTCTGCCGCTAACATCGAGATCGACTCAACTGCAGCCATCCCTCTGTATCGACGCCAGCCAGCTATGCGGCTC